ACTTTGACCTTTTGAAAAACACTTTATGCTTGCTAGCAAACACGTTGCGAATTCAATGACAAAACTTGACATATTAATTCTTCATTTCAACATTTAAAAATAATAATGTCTTAAATTTAACCTCAATGTATGATATTTAGTATTTAAGTTAAATTAAAGAAAAATTCAATTTAAGTTTAACCTCCCAATTTATTAAGTTTCATATTTAATTTAAGCTTAGCTCCTAATTTATACAATTTGATATTCAACTAAAATTTAGTCTCCCAATTTATGAAATTTAAGTCATTTAAAGCATTCAAACTTTTAAAATCTTTTGCAAGCCTTCATAATCCAATTTCAAATATATATTTTATTTTATTTTTACAAGTTTAAAAGCTTAAATAATTTAATTTTAGGCTATATTATAAGTTTATAAAGTCCACATCTTAAATATTTTTAAAGTCCAAATCCACTTCAAAATTCGGCAACCTCCAGACGTCATCCCTAGTTAGAGAGTTACATCGAGAAGCCTACTTGCCCAACTGTCTATAAGAGGCGCTGGTAAGTATTTTAAGACACTACGACCGAAAAAAATTTTCCAATCCACCGAGCTAAAAGAAGCAAGTGGGTTTTCACTTTCCCATATAATTCTCTAATTCTATCATCTCTCCTTTACCCTTTACACCTCTTGTTTTTATAATATATAATATATATTATATATTGTATTTAAAAATATTAGATTTTTATTTTTTTATTTTTTTTTTTTTTTTGTGTTTACCATAAGAAAAGAAGTTCTATCTTAGGATGGCTAGTGAGGCAATGAGGCATTTAAGAAAATTAATTGGTTTTCAGCTAAATGAATTTTGTAAACGAGTGCTCTAGATGAGAAAAGGTTCTGTTTTTCCAATCAAATTCTAGGGCTCTGTTCAAGCTTTCACGATCCCTACCATTTACAGTAATCTCACCATTAACTATTTTGAAATCGAAAAAGCTGAGATATATACCTCATCGCACGAGCAGAGAGGATATAAGAGCTCTGATTCCATTGTGTAATACCAGAAGGAGAATAAGGAGTTTCGGATCTCCAAACGCCGGCGATCCTGTCGTTGCCTTCCCGGTAAGCACCAGTCGCGTCTGTGTTGGAAGAGATCAGTTGATTTGTCAATTAACGAGACAAGTGAGAGCACTACAATAAGTTCTATGAGCCAATTTTACATGTTTTCAGCTTGTTGTATGTCACATCGAACATATTTTTTCACGAAAAATTGTTGAAGTTTTGTGTTTGCTTGAATTTGATAAATATTAGGGTTTTATTGATAGGATGAATTTGATTATATATTTTGCAATTATTCTTAATCCTTTATTTAAGTTAATCCTTAATAAGTATGAAGGTTCTGAGGGGGTTGTCATAGCACAATTAATATTATAATGATATGTTTTATGTCTATAAGATGAAGATTGTTGCTCAAAGTAGAGATGTTCACAACAATGAGAAAAGACAAAGTCTAACACTTGAAAATAGTGATGTATAAGATGGTGGGAGAAACTATATGATGATTGAAAAATTTAGACGACACAACTGTGAAAGGGAAGACTTTATAGCAAAACATATTTAAACAAAATATTTAGCTAAAAATTCTTAAACTAAGTAAGAGGATTTTGATATTTTGGTATGGTGGAATGTTAATGTACCAAGATTTTCAATTCCCTTTCAAATGGCTAGAGATGTTCTAGTAGTTTTAATATCTACATTAGCATTTGAGTCTGCATTCAGCACAAGTAGTGGTGTTCTTGATGCTTTTAGAAGTTCATTATCTCAAAAAAAATATGCAAGCTCTGGTTTGCAGTCAAGATTAGATAAGAGAAAAATTGACAAATGAGCCTATTAGTGTTGAGGTGAATATTAGTGAATAGATAAATACGGTGCATGTAACATGTTTGCTAAGATTTTTCTTTTATCATTTGTGTGTTAAGGTGAATATTAGTTCACAATATTTAAGTGTGTTAGAAGGTTCTTATTTCTTAAAGAAAATGTGACACATTTATCATTTTGGACATTTCTTGTTGGTAATAAATACTACTAAAACAAATTTGACTTTTGCATTTTTTTAACATCTTCTTTCTACTTCCTTTTTGTTCAGATTTGTTCTGGCTTATGTTTCGTTCTATATGAGGATCAAGATCAAATGTGTTTACATTTAAAAATTGCTTATAAATTGTAATACACCCATAATTGAATATTCTCATTTTTTTTCAAGCGATTGTGATGTATTTTTCATTGTTTCAGAGTTGTATTATATGATGAGTAATAAGTGTGATGGATGATATTGAAAAATGCTTTAAACGTTAAGTATTTTTTTTTGCAGTTTTTATATAAACTAAAAAGGGCGTAAGGGTTCTGATGAGGTATATGCTTGAGTCATTTAGATTTTATTATGTTTTTTCCTTCAATAACTTTATTTAAGTGCAGAGTTGTTGCCTTGCTAAAATACAAGGAAATGAACTTGTTGATGGACAACTTGGAGGCTAGACATTATAAACTATTTGATATTCTTTGGAGTTTGAACTATTTAGCTGAATCACTATATTCACTCTCTCGTTAAGAATCTTTATGGGTTTTAACTTTTGCTATAATATGGCTTACTGATTCAAGTCGTGAGGGTTGCTTTATTACTGGATTTCTTTCTTCAATAAAACTTGGCTTAATTTTTTTGGAGTAGGTTGTTTTTGGCAAGTTATGATGATTTCCATCGTCTCATGAAGCTCAACAATTCATCTAATTTTTTTGGTTTCTTTCCAGTCTTGTTTGTTTTATCTGGTTTCTTTGATATGCTTTCTGATTTCTATAAATCATAGCTCATTATGTTATGTGAGAAGTACAAATACCTGGACAGTTGGATGAACATATACTCTCTACCCTCTGGTCTTTTAAGTTTTTTTGCTAGTGTTTGTTTTCTACTCAGTTCAATGTGCCTTTGAATTAGTTATGTTGTTTGATACTATTATAATAATTGATTTGCTCTTGTCGAGTTGTAGTTTTGTTCTTAGATGTCTTCTTTTTCCTGACTTTTTGGAGGTGCCTTTTTAATTCGGTTGGTTATGCTTATTTCTGAGAAATTATAACGTCACGTCTTGATTCTGGAAAGTTTTTATTGATGCTCTGATGTCTGGATGGAGCTTCTATTTATGGTTTGATGGGTTCTGAGTTTTTATATCTTGATTTTTGATAGCCTGCTTTCATTTTTTTTTTCCTTTTGTATTTCTCATTTCATAATCTACATCTTCTTTGTAAGTGGATTCATGGTAAGCAACAATAAACATTGTTTATAAGTTTGTGCATCTAAAGGACCTATAAATCCTTTTTCCATATCAAGGCAAACTTGGATTTGATGTTGAAGCATATCAGAAAGCAATAAAACATGCAAACAATCGAGAGAAAAACCCTTGACGATTCATAAAGAGCATTAGTTATAGAATAAAATAGATGTTGGAGATCTCAAAATTAAGTGTAACTTGTATTATTAAAAATTTATAATTCTTATATGCTATTTATACATATTTTTTTATGATGTTCAATTTTGTACCGCTTTTTCTTTAAGTTGTAAACTATTTTTTAACAATTTAATTAGAATATGATTTTAGACATTTAAATCTATTAGTTTTACCTTTACAACTTGAGATTTTTGTAACCATATAATCACTATCAATTGAATCACTTGTTACTAGGTCGTTGTATTTGTATGTGTTTTTTAATTTTTATATATCAAATATATACATTTCAATTTATGTAAAACCAATCTATTTAAACCAAATTAACTTTCAATTTGGCTGGTTCGATTTTGTCAACATTTTAATTTATGTACTTCAATTTTAAAATCAATTTATCTGAACCAACCGAATGCACACCCCAATACATTAGCTTAAATTATCAAATTATTTTCACATATTTGAAATAAATAAATACATTAGTTATAGCTCCTCAGTTCACATTCTACATGCACACTCAAAACTATTTAAAAGTCTCTTATAAATCATCTTTAATAAATTACTCACATATATTTCAATATAATTATTATACTAAATTCTTTTTTTTTAATTTTTATCACCCCATCTAAAATAATCTTTAACATTCATTATCATCAACAAGCTTTATTCAATGCCTCAAAATTAGAAGGTTCAAATCAGAGCTACATGAAATACACACCAGTGCAAATAGTCAAAATAATCTATTGATTATTTCTAGGGCTGTCAAAAAAGCTCGTTGTTTGCGAACAGCTCGTGTTCGACTCGTTAATTAGCTCGTGTTCGGCTCTTTCGTTAAGTAAACGAGCTGAACACAAACAAATTTTTAAAGCTCGAATTATAAACGAGCCGAACACGAACTACTCTTTGGCATGAACAATTCTTTGTTCGCTCGTGTTCGCCTCATTGGAGCTCGAAATAAATAAATAAATATATATATATATATATATATATTTATATCTAAGTTAAAATCATAATATCTCAAGCGGTAATGTGGTTAGTCCTTTATTTTATATATATTTGGTCCAAGTTTAAATCCCACACTTTACATATATTTTTTTCAATTTAATTTTAACGAGCCAATTTCGAGCCGAACACGAATAAATCGAGCCGAACACGAACACACTGTTCACGAGCCAATTTTGAACACGAGCCGATTTTGAACACGAACTATTCTGAACAAGCCAAACACGAGCCAAGCCTGAGCTCGCTCAAACTCGGCTCGTTTACGGCCCTAATTATTTCTAAGATATATTAGATCTCAAACTACACAATATTTGATTTAAACCTTAAACTCTAAAAGGGCAGTGAAGGGTTACTTCTATATTAAAAGTAAGTGATTTAAAAACTACAAAAATCAACTTTCTAATAATAATAAAAAAATGTTACAATAATATATGAACAACAAGCATATCAGCATATCAAAGCCATTTCTAACATTTTCAAGTTATAAAATGATATTGAAAAGAAAATGAAATTAGTACATGAACTGGTGGGAGAAAATATATGAAGATTGAAAAATTGGGACGACATAAATTGTGAAAGGAAAGACTTTAAAGTAAAACATATATAAAAAAAGAAATATTTAGCTAAAAATTATGAAACTAAGAGCATTTTGATATTTTAACATGGCGGAATGTTAATGCATCAAATGGTTAGAGATGTTGTAGCAGTTTCAATATCTATAGTAGTAAAGTTTGTATGTTAGCTTTTAACTCTCGGCAACTCGTTCAATAGCTTCGACCCCAATACGTCCACTTCTTAGCAGGCTTTCCAGATGCGAAGCAACGCGTACCTGAACGAATACAGAGAATTACAGTAAGGCATCATTTAGAGGTCATAAAATCAAATAAAATGAAACAGCATAGTTTAAAATCGGCGAATAAACTAAAAGACATCAATCAACTTTGTCGTCGTCGTCATCATCATCATTGTTACACATTCATGCATCCAATGAGGTCAGTTACAAATGTTTGTTAATTCAACTTAAGGCCATGTTTTTTCGGGTTGTGATTTCTTTTAGGAAGATTTACAAGCCTACCACTCAATTACTATGAATTTACATATCTAACAACAATTTTACATACATGCCACCTTACCTACGGATTGAATAGGTTTAGCCTGTTTAGTGATTTTCTGGAGTGTGGTGAGTGTTTCCTCATGTATTTCCAGAAACCATCTCCATACCATTTGGAATTAGGTGTATCAATCCAGGAGATCACTCTTATAAAATGAAATATTAAGCATGGTGAACGCACAACTAATTTATGTCTTATTCATTATTTTTTATATTTTGATGATAAAATGTCCATTTTGACATAAAATCATATAATTTAAGCTGTCGGGTTTAAATAACACTTAATCATGCACCAAAAGTAAATGATCATCGTTAAAAATACAGTTGTGTTTGTGAAAGCTATTCCTAATCTGTATTGCCCTTTCGAGGAATTTAAGCTGTCGGACTTATATAATACTTTATGTAAACCAATCATGCCACAAAAGTACATAATCATATTTAAAAATATAGTTGTGATTGTGAAAGCTATTCCGAATACATATTGCACCTTTCCAGTGAAAGTTGTCTTATATTAACTTTATTCTTATATTAATGTTGAGAAAATTGGGGCGAAGAAAAAAACAGTAATGTCTTATATTAACTTTAGCATTTGGATGTGCTATTCTGCTAGTGCAACATTACCCCACAATATGTAATTACAACATTACCCCTGTACCAAACCGCGGGGCTTTGCCACCGCACCCCAACCCACGTAACTTCCCAATTTGGACAGATTCTTCCGCTCCGCTCTACTCCACTTCAATTCAGCGTCTGTCCCGATATGGTATATGCCAAATTCTTATTAAACATAAACGTGTAATCAAATAAAAGCCAACTGTTTGTCTCCATGAACACAAAATTTTCACAAAACTAGAAATGAAGACAACAATAAAAGAACGCATAGAATACCCATGTACAATTCTAATTAAAAAAATTCTAAAAACAAAATCAATGTACATTATAGTTATAAAAATAATCTTGTACTTCTTTTTAATATATTTAATCTACTTCATGACTGCATGAAATTCATAATAAATGTACTTCCATCACATTGGACTATACTTTCCCTCTTGAAAACCATGTACATGCCTGTGTTGAGGTCTTCTTTGACAAGATAAGGGTTGCCCTTTGCAATTCATATCTACTACCATGGAAATTTATTACAACTGATTATGCATCATAATTTTCTCCTATTTTTGAATTTTCCAAGTAATAAATTCTAAAACCCCTGCCTGCTTTATCTACTTCATTGATTGTGTAGATCAGCTTTCACAACTAAAGTGATTAAATTCTCTCTTTACCAAAATGGCAATATGACTTTTATTATTATTATTATTATTGTTGTTGTTGTAGTAGTAGTAGTAGTAGTAGTTGTTGTTATTGTTGTTGTAGAAGTAGTAGTAGTAGTAGTTGTTGTTGTTATTGTTGGGACCACTATCTAATCAAGCATAATTTAGGAGTAAGGCACTCATCTCCAAGCAATTCAAAGAAACTGAACAGGCTACAAAGCTATGGCTTTAAATTTAATTTAAGAACAAAATGAATCCCAAATAATGTGAAGTTATAACTGAAATTGCAATGAAGATTCCAACAACACCAAGAACGATCAAACACAATCATGTTCAGGTATTAAATCAATAAATCAGACCTTAATAATTGATCCAAGGAAACAACCTTTTCCTTATAGCGTGGATAGGTTGCACCCATGAGAGCCTAGGGATGGATGGCAGAAGGTCAACGACTCAACAAGCACCATCTCTTCTCAAGCATATATATAGTGCCTTTCAATCGATATATAATGCAATTATTTTTGCAGAGTTCCTCTAATTAGATTTTAAGATCTTAAAATTACAACAAACTTCCACGAGCCTTTATTTCAAAGCATATCTGGGCTCCCAAGAAAAATTTACAGAAAATACGGAATCTTATTGTCCCTGTTTACGACAATCTTGCATTTCCATGAAACTTCTCAATTTTTTTTCTCTTCGATCTGAACGACACATTTTTTATGTGTCAGCTCTATTGAATTTGTGGTTTTAAACTTACAATGCGGTGCACTTTGTCACCACTCAAATCCATTGCAAGTGACAGGTTTCATACCCCCCAAATCAAACCAGTGATGCTGTTCACTAGTAGACTGCCAACTTAGACATACCAAAAGGCCACTTGGAGAATAGATCATCTTGTCATTTTCTCAACATGAAAGGGCATGATTTGATGTGTTCATTGTAGATAAGAATAGAAAATATTTCAATATAATATTGAATAAATACCTCATTCAAAATGTGTTGAGTATCCTCAATTCTCCTCATTTTTAAAATTCAAAACTCCAAAAAAAGAATGCTAAAGGTCTATCCATCAATATCTGTTTTTAATAAGTCATTCAAGAATTTAAATCCACCCTACACTAACATTTTGGAGTCCTATATTTCCCCCACTTTCAAGAAGAGTGGTTAATTTTACCCAATCCACTCATCTCTAAGCCTTTAGCCCGCCCTTTAAAGTTATTGCTATTTGACGTGTGGATTACTTACCACATGCTTACCTGTGGTGGAAGGGCTGAACCGGCTGGTTCAGCCAAAGAAACTGGGGCCAGCTGATCAGTCCAGACTTGCTGCCCAAAGGAGAGGGCCTCCATTTCCTATTCTACTTGCCGCCCAAAGTGGCCTCTCCTTCCTATTCTATCATCAACTATATATTTGTTGTTTGCTTGCTTAGGGTTAGTTTTGGTTAACTATGATTTCAGATTTCTGACTTTGGTACGTTTCTCCATTCCTATTATCTAAAGTGGGGATTATCTCTGGTTGTTCCCCTCTTCCTACTGCCTCCCAAGTCCACCTCCATCTCCCCTGCTTGCAGCCACCTTCCCGCCAGCGTCCTCCAACCCTCCCAAGCCTGTCGTAACTTACTCCAACCCCTTCTATATTAGGATGCAATTCTCCCCAACCCTTTCAGATCTATCGTACTTCCCTCCAGCCCCATTCCAGACTTGCTCCAACCCTTCCCAAACCCTCCAGACCCTGCCACAACTCCCTCTAACCTTCCAACTACTGCAGAACCCTTCTCCAACCCTCCAACTGCTGTCGTATCACCCCAAGCAGTCCACACTTCTGCTGAACAGATGGTGTCCATCCCTGCCGCTCTCACCTTAGAGGGTCGTTTGTCTGTTTTGTGTTCTTTTATTCTTATTTTAAAGAGCCATAATTGTAAACTTTGAATTTAAGTAAGACAAATTCATTTGTATTGTGGTTTGGGTTAACTTCGATATCATGACTATCACAGTCGTCCATTGTTGCCAATAGACTCAAGGTTCTCTAGTCCAACTCTCCACACCTTCCCATATAAGAGAGCAATTTTCATTCATATCTTATCATCATCAATAATATGGTATCCAGTTTACCTACCTTTGCTCAAGAGAAATACTAGCACAACCGCCTCTAATCGTTCATCAAATTCTAGTTGGTCAATCCAGCCAATCAATTAAAGAGGATCTCTCAACTGCCTCTATTCATGTATCGACTCCATATCATCCAATTCACCCCTCTCTAGTTGCCAACTGACTCAAGGTCGTCTAGTTCACCTTCTCTATGTGGACTATCTCAATCGTCCTCAATCAACCATCTATTTAAGGTCATTCAATTCCATCTTAGAGGAACTAAATTGATCACCTTTAATTGCTATGACAACCAAGCTACGTCATCATGCTCTAGCCTGAAACTTGTGTTATATCTAATTTTAGAAGAACTAACCTGACTCCTCCAAATCCCTTGCAAAACCTTCAAGTCTCGTTAAGTAGAGCCATCTCCACATTCTCCACATTTAAAAGGAAGAATAACATGATTGCATAATTCGTCTCTACAACTTTCCTATGTCATCTCACTCACCACTATTTTAGGACTAGCCATGTTGAATACCCTTCACTGTCATATGTCATGCCAACTCCACCTCCAAGAAAAGAACCATCTCGACCAACCAACATGTCGCCACATCATCACCTTACAGTTGTCATTTATAGCTCTAGGAAAGGATTGATCTAGTCTTCTCTAGATGTCTTTACAAAATTCTTTTGTCACATCACACACTGCCATCAGAAGACATCCCATCTCCAAGTGTCTCCACTCTCGACCATCCTTGGATGAACCTATCAATGCTCTCTTGCTCGTTGCCTTCAAGTAATGTTGTGACCACCTTTAGAGAAGAATCAACCTTACCAACTTCAAAAACTAAACAAAATCTTCCTGCATCTAATCACTACCTTCAATTCCCGTCATCTCCAACTCAAAAAAAGAACTGGCCTAGTCATCTTTAATGGCATCCATGCATTTTTTTGTCACGTTATCATTAACTTCAAGTTGTCTAACCTCCACCTTTATTAGAGGACTAATGCAACCATCTTCAAAAACCTTTATACCTTTGTAGTGCCATCTCATTTGTCGCCTCAAGTTCACTGCCTTCACCTTTAGAAGAGAGCTACTATGATCACCTTTATTTATCCTGAAAGCTTTATTGTATTATGATTATCACAATAATTGTAACAACCATCCTTTATCTTCCTTTTATTAAATCCGTCTTTGAGTTTAAGGAAAAGCAAAACTTTGTAGCTCACATACAGTGCTAATGGAAGTTATTTAAATTGGGCATCTCCCTTCAATTTTTCTTTCTGAATTTTTAAGTTTATTCTGTACTCAATTAACTTTATACTTATACTTGTGTGTGGAATGTTACAAAGCTATAAACGG